CTTTTGTGCTTCTGTACTTATTTTAGGGTTGTTTAGCAGCCAACGTTGAGGATCGCTATATTGCATATTATCACGATGATTTCGAGTTTAGTTACTTATCAAATGTCAGTACGACAATGAGTTACAATACTAATTCGCTGTCTGACGATCCATGGAGTCCATACGGTGACAACAGCACCCAACAGGAACTCAGATTCAATGGACCGGACCCAACTAATGAAGATATATATCGTATGGACTTCATCAACACTGCATTATCAATGGAACGAGAGTATTATGTCATCACAACAGTTTTCAAACTTGTGCCAAAAGAGAATACTAGGAGGAGGAGAGGTTTATTGGACGGAGAGTTTGGAGGTGGAACGACGCTTATACTGAATGCTGTTCCAGCAAAACTAGATCACCATATTAAAACCCGCTCAATTGAAGATTCAATAGATGACCCAGCAGGTAAGAAAATTTATTTTTCAGATTTAAGGGTCTAGGCAAACCAATTATGAAAACCCAAATTTTAAAATTTGTTTTTAACCTATTTGGCCCATTTATCAAACTTTATATAAATGATTTGTAATTACATATTTGAAATTCAACTAAATTATTCTGCTGTTACTTTAGTATTACAGTAGTTTTATTTATTTTTTTTTTTTCAAATTCCTAAAGCATAACCTGCATTAAATTTACACTAGTTGATCCAGTTAGGAAGGAGCTACATAGTCCTTGTTGCAAACCTTAGTTGATAATTAAGCACTTACCCTCTTGCAAAATTTAAATGGACCGGTTAAGAAAACCGCAATTCGTCGGGCGAAACAAACAAAAATTAGTTTCTACATATTAGACTCTAAAATCGACTATTTTTCGGCAATTTAGCCCCCTTCGATCATTTTTGACTCATTTAGGGAGACGGTTACACGCCCTCTTTGTTCTCGTCAGGAACATCATCCTCATCCTCCCCCCCACCCCCTGTAAACTCATAAATATACAAATTAGGCAGTTTAGATATGGAATTGAATCTTTCTACTTTCTTAGTATCTGAAATTACATACAGTACTGTGTTTGCTTTACTTTGGATTTTTCCAGACATGAATGTACCATTTGAGTTTACTGGTTGTCCCGAAAATACACATTTCATTCTTGATGAACTTGAGTGCGAGTGTACGGAACAGCACCAGCAATACAGCGACTCGACGTTCCAATGTGAAAACACTTACTGGGTGGATGACATACTAGATGAAACTGAAGATACTACTGCAGCAGCATCATGCACATTTGTTCAAATATTAAGTCTAATATTACCATATGTACTTTCTGTAATTATAATCGTGTAATTGAATTTGTAAAAATCAAATGTATTACTATACATTATACAGATTTGACATACAATGATTGTCACAAAAATATATAAACATTTATTTTCTTGTAAAATCATAAATAGCGACTTTTTTTCGCACAAATATTTTTCTATTTCCAAAATGTCTACCAATGAAATGACTACAAATGTGATATATGTTGATATAAGACTTGTTCATAGGAAGTGCTTCTGGCAGGCCTTCATAACCGCCCACCATCCAACAGCACAATATACTTCTTGCCAAAGTCACCAATGGCTAAGCTATGGAAGGCCATGTTGGTCAATATAACTGCATATTCAAAAGTTGCAAAGAAGCTGTACACTGTAAAAAAAAAAAAAAAACAAATATTAATGCATAACAAGTGAACTGTACTAAGATGTCATACATATTGTTCACTGTAAGTCTTTGTAGTAATTTGAAATAAATGTTATTTATTTGTACTTGCCGTATGGTTCACAGTACTTATTATGTCTCCAGTAAAAGTATGTAAGCAAAGCGAAGGATGACACATTTGCAGAGAAAACCAACACTTTCCTTTTTGCACTTTGATGTTCCTGTACACAAGAATCATTAGGAATATAAATAGCCTGCTAATTTGAATGCAGCCCTTGGGCAATTTTGATGTTTCAAAACATAACACTATAAGAACTCGACCATGAATATGTTAATCAATTGAAACATAACACTATAAGAACTCGACCATGAATATGTTAATCAATTATCTTAAAAGAATAACTCGAATACGCACCGCAAGTGATTTTGAAAGACGTGGCCAGTAGCTTAACAAGCAAGAAAGCAACATATACAAAAATGAAAATACACCAAATCCTATAAAACAATTCCGGTGGATTTCTGAAACATAAAAATTTAAAAAGTTACAAAAATATTCTGGGATGTGGTGGCAAGAAACTAGTAAGATTAGCGCTGTGACCTTCCTAGCTGCAGTTTTAAATCCATTTGGCATGACTAAGGCTTTACTACGTAGTAAACTATTCAAGTTTAGGCCTATAGGCATGGATTAAGCAATCAGACAGCAAAGAGTGGTGTAGGGTTAATTCGGTTCTCGCTACTGTGTTACAACTTTTTCCCATTTCATTTTTGCTGTAAAATTAATTTAAATTAATGTTCCCGTATAATTTAAAGAATTGAAGCAAATAAGACAAATTTGTTCTCATTTTCTAAGAGTAAAATCCTATCGCGGTATTTTCTATGGAGATAGCAAATGACTGTTCTATATAGCATAAAATAAAGATTAAATGCAAAATTCTCGGTAGAGGAGACGCAGGTCAATCCTAGCAAGCAAAATATCTCGATGTGTCACAAGCAAGCAACTCTGTTTATGGTGCCGAGCAAGTAACGTTTTTCAATGACTTTACTACGTAGTAAACTATTCTTAAGCTAGGCCTAGGCATGGATTTAGCGATCAGACAGCAAAGAGTGGTGTAGGGTTGATTCGGTTCTCGCTACTGTGTTACAACTTTGTCTTTTTCCCATTTCATTTCAGGTATAATTTAAATTAATGTTCCAGTATAATTTAAAGAATTGATGCAAATAAGATAAATTTGATCTCATTTTCTAAGAGTAAAATCCTGTTGCGGCATTTTCTATGGAGATAGCAAGTGACTGTGTTCTATAATGACTTGCATATAAAATAAAGCTTACCAAAATTCTCGGTAGAGGAGACGCAGGTCAATCCTAGTAAGCAAAATATCTCGCTGATGTGGCACAAGCAAGCAACTCTGTTAATGATGCCGAACAAGTAATGTTTTTCAACGACGTGCTTCATATCACTGTAGTAATTGTAATAAACTGTAGCAAACAGCAGTCGTGGTGTGACATGCAGTGCCACGCCTATCCGCCATATGTATTTTTGAGGTGTGTAGTTTCCTATGACCGTACTGATTGATGGAAAAAAGTTTGGTACCTAAAAGAAAAATTGTCACCTTGATCTGTCTACATGCATTTTGGTTCATCCTCAATATTATGATTACACATTTCCATGGTAGTTCACAAAATAAGTACCTCATAAAAAATCATTAATTGCATTATCGTCGTTGTTATTGTATTATTATAATTATTATATAAACAAACGAAACCAACATTAAATGACAAAATTATAGGCATACAAGGGAGTGGTACTGATGGAACAGTTTAAATTGGTCATATTAAAGGAGCTGAAAACACATACATTGCAAGAAAACATTTACGTGACATACTACTCCTGCTAGTGTATTATTAATGTATATGTGATTTGCACATAAACAAATTAACTTTTTTGCATAGACAAGAAAAAATAATATTGTTATTCAGTCAGCAGAATATTAAATAGGTGAACTATTGGAGAAATTGGTAGAATTGCAGGTTGATGATATATCACATCACATGACCATTCCAGTAACAAATCAGGATGTGAATTTTGAAGCGTTTCCTTCCCCAGACATTGTGCTATAAAATTTGCAGATTGTAATTCAAATAATCATAAATGATGATGAATCAATAATTATTGTAACAACCAATTTCCATAACTATATTTGCATTTTTCCTAAAAAACACCATATTGCAAGTACAAATTTTAACCCAAAAAAAATCCACTGAAAAATATTTTGCTCTATTTCATATTAGACTACCTGCACATTTTGATTATAAATATTAATAATTAAACATTGTGGTCTTCCACCACAAAACAAGCCATGTTAATTATTGTAACATCAATAACCCACATACTGCACTCACCACTACAATCTATGAGCACAATTAATAAAATTCATATTAAAATCTAAAATATATTTGCATTTTTCCTAAAAAACACCATATTGCAAGTACAAATTTTAACCCAAAACAAAAATCCACTGAAAAATATTTTTCTCTATTTCATATTAGACTACCTGCACATTTTGATTATAAATATTAATAATTAAACATTGCAGTCTTCCACCACAAAACAAGCCATGTTAATTATTGTAACATCAATAACCTACATACTGCACTCACCACTACAATTTATGAGCACAATTTAAAATAAAATTCATATTAAAATCTAAAATCTGAGAAATTACCAATAATATTTGTGACTGTCTGGTCAAAAACCAGGCACTTGTCATCACAAACAATTCTGTAAATCAGCAGAATTCTCAATTTTTTTTATCCTCTTAATGCATGTTGGACTAAAGCTTTATCAATAAATATATTCACCATTTAAAACCATTTATAACAATTTGGCATCAATTATTAGCTTTTGTCATCTACATCAAGAGCCCCTTTTTTTTTTTTTGCTAGAGTGGGTCACATTATTGGGTATTTAGGCCTACAGAGTATATTAAAACTTACATTGCAATGAGTCCAAGTAACACTGTCAAAATTATTCACAAACGACAGAAAAATGCATATAAATATAGAGAGCAGTGGCAGCATGACGGCAGTAGACACTACCAACTTCATCTGAACGCAAAACAAGTTGCTGCTTAATACCATCGTAAGAAGTGGTGTTCCTCCAAAATTTCAGACCTGAAAGAAACACATTTAGAAATTTAATTGGATGAAAATTACATGGGAAAATCTTACTGAATCTTCAAAAAAAAAAAAATCTTCAAATAAGTTTTTTAGAGCACTGTTACCCTCCCTATTGTAGGCCTAGGCCTACAGTTGATTTGAAAGAAAGCAATGCGTTTTTCTTCCTCTGTAGCCTCGAAAAAAACTGCTCCCAATGCTCAAGGCCCATATCCACTATTCTCCATCCAATAAATAATTATCCATCAGGGCCCACACACATTCTGTGTAAATAATGGCTGATGAATTGAAGTACATACAAAGTTAAGAAAAGGAACTCTACACTTTTTAGCAGAGCTCTAAACCAAGAGCCTCTATGATGCTGTATACTGTGTAATTTACTATTACTTGAGTAGGACGAACCAGCAATAGGTCCATAACTATAGCTCAAGCTAGGGCTTAGGTCTATGGCAGGTCCAGGAAGCCTAGCTAGGCCTAGCTGGCCTGCTAGGTTCTGCCGGGCCTAGCCTAGCAAGGCCTAGCAGAGCTTAAATAAATACAGTCTTGATTACTTCAGTTAAGCCAAACCTACACTTATAAACATCTCAATCTATTAAAGTAAGGCTATGTGTAGACCTTGACGATGTACAAATAACAGCCACAATTTCAAGAGATACTTGTTGATCGTTTGTTTTAACATGATCAAAACATACGAAAACCCAAGAGTCGAAAATCGACTCGCGTTTCATAGTGTCACATAAGCGTTCAAACGCGATACATAACGTGATTTTTCTTTTCGGTCTCATGTACGTTCGTGGACTTGCGCCCTCATTGTTTTTGAGCGGCATGTAAATAGATTACAAAGTTGTTTTTGCCTTAGTTTTGTTAATTATTGCCCTGTCAATTATTCAGTGAATATGTCTTCAATCAATTTTGCGATGTTAGGGAATAAAACTAGGTAATTATATTCCTTCTTAAGTATTTCTGAATGTCGAATACAGATAGTTTAACTCCTAGGCCTAGGCTAGGACCAAAGGATAGAACGTTTGGAAGGAAATAAGGACTGGGAGGGTTTACTGTAGGTAGGCCTAGAGGCTAGGCTAGTAGGCGTCAGGCCTAGGCTTACTAACTAGCCTAACTACTAGGCCTAGCCAAGTACTTGTGCGTAGCTTCGCTATGCCTACATAAGTTAGCGTCATTCTAGGATAGCTAAGTATCAACAAAGAGTATAATGACTTAGATAGTAGGCTAGGCCTAGCCTTTAATTAGGCCATCATATATGCTAGGCCTAGCTAGGCAGTGGTGAGGTGGGGTCAAGGGGAAGAGGAATTTGCTAAAAGCTCTAAAAACTCTCTTGTGAACCCTACTATAGGATTTTTTATTTCAGGACCGGGGCTCTAGTCGTCGTCCTTGTTCGGAACCCTTTTCCCCGATCCTTCCGGACATGTCAGACCACTTGTCGGCAAATTTCTGGCGCCACCGCTGATGCCAGGTCAAAAGTACACCAGTTCCAATACTGTATAATTGTTTAATTTCGCAGATGCTATCTCAAAAACTGGCTCAAATTTGTGGGAAAAATCGCTAGGAAAATAGGTGCACAGAATCGTAACTACTGCATAATACATTAGATATACTGTATTAAGATTAGGTCAAAGCTTAATTTTTGCTAAAATCTGTGTGTATTTTAAATCGGCCCTTATTTTCCGTAATGCGCGGAATGATTTCTAGGCCTGATTTTTAGACCTTACTGTTCAGTATGGCCTCCCCTTTTCCTAATCCTATTCTATACAGACAGTGAACCATTTATCATTTTCTTCAATCGTCTGCAAGCTATTTACCTCTTACAAAATTTACTTGTGAAGTTGCCCGTAACATACTGTTAGAGGAATAATTATTTCCTCCATGATAATAACCTATTTTGACATTTCGTTTTTCGTTTTTCATCAGATGGTTAGTTTTTAGAATTTTTATTCATAAAAACGGTGTAAAAAATAATATGCATGTTTTGATTTTGTTCAGTCAAAATAGAGAGAGTGTGCGGTGTCAGAAGTGCCTCGAGATGGGC